AACTTGCCAATTGTCATCGTCGTCATCATCTTCACTGGACCCAAGAGATCGACCATCGGTAGTTGTTGGTTTTGCTTTAAAACTCATAGTGATAATAGAAGTGGTTTATTGCTTGGTCTTTGAAAGAAATGTTTAAGCACTGCATGCAATGCAGGCAGTGCAAGCACAATATTTTGTTGCTGGATTTATTTATTACGGTTTTGGGTAAATGTTGTGTTGTAAATTGTTTCAAAATTGTTTTTATGATCTTAAGAAAAAAAAGAATTGGATTTTTTTTTTTTTTTTTTTTTTTTTTTTTTTTTTTTTTTGCGGTACCACGTCTATTCAATAACACAGTTGAACAACGACTGAAATACCAAATTTGAAACAATTCCGGTGAATAATATCGCTAACATCATTATATGGGGGCTATACGAAGACGTGGACCTGTACAAACAATTTTCTGTCATAGGCTGTAGTATCCATTACGAACTTCAAATACAAAATTGAAACAATTCCGGTGAATAATGACGCTAAAATCGTCAAAATACCGAATATAGGGAGGTACCGTTATATGGGGGCTATACGAAGACGTGGACCTGCATAGACAATTTTCCGATGAATAATATCGTTTAAATCATCAAAATACCGAATTTTGGGAGGTACCATTATATGGGGGCTATTCGAAGACGTGAACCGGTACAGATAATTTTCTGTCATAGACTGTAGTTCCCATTACGAACTCTAAATACGTAATTTGAAACAATTCCGCGTTCCGGAATAATGCGGCTAAAATCATCAAAATACCGAATATTGGGAGGTACACTTATATGGGGGCAATACGAACACCTGGACCTGCACAGACAATTTTCCGTCTTAGGATGTAGAATCCATGACGAACTTCAAATACCAAATTTGAAACAACTCTGGTGAAAAATATCGCTAAAATCATGAAAATACCGAAAATAGGGAGGTACAATTATATGGGGGCTATACCAAAGCGTGGACCTGCATGACCCATTTCTAATACCAAAAGTCTAGAAGACATAATATACATTTGAGTAAATTTTTATCAATCTTTTCATTTCGTTCGGAAGCTAGAGTGATTTCCACAGATGGAGAGACAGACGGACATCGCTAAATCGGCATAGAATTTTATGCTGTTCAAGAATATATACATTTTGTGGGGTCTAAAATGTATATTTTGAGGTGTTACCAACGGAATGACAAACATAATATACCCTCTCCTTTCTATGGTGGAGGGTATAAAAACCCGAAAATAATGAAAGAAGATCTTAAAATAAAAGACATTTGTATCTGGGGGTTTGAAAGTTAACATCGCAAGCATGGTACAATAAGGAGGCAGAACAGCTTAGTAAAAAATACATAAATACTGCCCTGAGGCTGTGCCCGCTTCCTGTCAAATTTGCATGCAAACAGGTTGTTTTTATTTATTCAATATTTTTTCCTCATTTTTAAAATCAGCGCCAAATATAAATGAAATGCCTGGATTTTCTTTCAAATATATGATCTAAATAATTCAATCTTTCAATTATATGTCAACGGAGGCGAATAGCTTCAATGCCCGTCCCGCAATGTTCGCGTCTTCCAATCATTGATTTTGAAAATATTCTGTTTTTATTTTTCAAAACAATAAATACATACACAAAATTGGCACAAGTCGGGCATACTTCGAAAAAAAATTGTAACCAGCCGGTAGCTCTACGTTACCTTTTTATTGTATCATGATCGCAAGTAACCTGAAAGGGGGCAAAAGCAAGTTCCCCCTCTATTACATTTTTAGTAAATATTCGAATTAAGATTTCTTAGGATCTGTTAATGTTAGGTACATAGTGTCTTCGGAAATATTATTGACAACTTTATGAGGATTATTTTCGTCGAAAATGTTAACCCTCAAGCGAGTCAACGAAGAGGTCTTTTTGGTCCTTTTTCAAAAATATTGATAAAAACTAGGCCACTCGTCCGACAGCTGTTAAAATTATTCAAGTGACAGCTCATTATATTGCTAACAAACGTACAAAAGCATTTTGGTGAGAATTTTCCAGAAAAAAAGTTATTCGTGATGGAATCCAAGCGTGATAGTGTGATTTCTTTATATTTGACTGGAAAACCACAACGATAGCCACTTAGAGCACTCCAACATTTAAATGTGAATAAATCTTTTGTGTCTCGTATCATCGCTCGTTGCCGTGATACTGTTAGCGTAGTCCGACGTCAAGGAAGTGGACGGAAGAAAACAGCAACATCAGCAGAAATGGTTCGAAGAGTAAAGAAGCGACTTAATCGTAAGCCGCATCGCAGTGGCCAAAAAACAGCTCGTGAGCTGAACATATCACAATATGCCATTCGGCAAATATTGAAAAATGAGCTCGGGGTAAAGCCATTGAAATTCCAAAAAGTGCAAAAACTTACACCGCAACGTAAAGAAAATAGATTCAAAAGAGCTAAAGAGTTGCTTCGCTTGGTCGAAAGTGGTAAACTGCCGAATTTGGTTTTCTCCGATGCCTTTGTTGACTTAAAATGAAATTTGATAAAGAATATTTTTGTCTTTGATGTCATTCTTTTAAAACAATGTTTTGTGGAAGATTTGCGCATAAATTTTTATAAAACACGGTCTTAAGCCTAAAATGGGTCTTCTATGTATTGTTTTCTGTAACATACATACGTACACCAGATAACTTAAATTCCAGAGCTCCAGGGAATCTTAATCCAAATATTTCATAAAATTGTGAAAGGTGTAGAAATTTGACGCCTCTGTTTAAGTTAGGTTAGAAAAGAGGGACTAGCCTGTTGTGCGTTCTATTGGTAGAATTTTGGGGAGAAAAGGATTTCATGCTTAAATATAGCTCTAGATCCAGCTCTCGGCATTCAATTAATACTAAATTTAATAGTATTTAGTACATTTTGACCAATTATAGTACGAATTTTCCAAACAATGTCCGTTTATTAACTTCAGATGCCAATACTGACCTTAACATTAAATTTCAGGATTTCAGCTCTTTCATTTTCTCCATTACCAAACTTAGTGTCATTTAATACAATTATACACAACTACACATATCCAAAACCAGATCCATTTCTCAACCACAGACACCAATAGTGACATCCATATCAAATTTAAGTATTCCAGCCTTATCTCTTCATTCAAAGTCAAACTTAGTACCATTTAGTACTTTTCGAAAAATTCCGGATATCAACAGAGACATAATATCAAATTTTTGAATTTTATCTTTATATTATCACCCAATACCCAATTTAGTACCACTTCGTACTTTTCGACATATTATAGTACACATTTTTAAAACAAGCTCCATATCCCAATTCTAGATATCAACAGAGACTTTAATAGCAAATTTCAAGATTTACCCCCTTACCTTATACCAAATTTAGTACAACTTATTATTTTTCGAACAATTAAAGCACAGATTTTCAAAACTTAATAACCAACAGTGACAACCATATCAAATTTAAAGATTCCAGCGCTATCCCTTAACCCAGTGCCAAACTTAGTACTATTTAGTACTTTTCGTGCAATTATAGTACACAGTTGCTAAACTACCTCCACATTTCAATTCCAGATACCAACAGTAACCTCAATATCAAATTTCAGAATTGTATCACTATTCTTACACCCAATACCAAAATTAGTACTATTTAGTACTTTTCGTGCAATTATAGTACACATTTCCAAAACTACCTCCAAATTTCAATCCCATTATCAAATTTCGAGATTACATCTCTTTTCCTTCATCGAATACCAAATTTAGTACCATTTAGCACTTTTCGTACATATATTCCGTAGGAATTTCCAAACCACTGTCAAATCTCAAACACAGTTATCTTAATATCAAATTTGAGAATTTTATCTCTATTCCTTCAACCAATACCAAATTTAGTACTGTTTAGTACAATTATAGAATAAATTACTTTTCGTACAATTATAGAATAAATTTCCGAAACCACCTCCATTTGTCTAGGCTTCAAATGGACAGCGACCCTAGTATCAAATTTCAGATTTAAAGCTCTATCAGTTCAATCAAAACCAAATTGTACCAAATATGGTACTATTTAGTACACTTGGCACACTTAGTACAAATTTCTAAAATCACCTCTTTATCAGAAACCTGCCACAAAAAGGGCCCAATACAAAAAAAATGAAATTTCCACTTCATACGTTCAACCTTAACTAAATGATTCCCAATTTAGTACCATTTAGTACAATTTCACACACTTAGTACATTAATACCATTTAGTACATATGTGTACGAATTTCCAATACTACCTACATTCCTCAGTCCTAGAATACAATAGTAATCCTATTTTCAAATTTCAAAATTCCAGCTCTAACTGTTCAACCAAATCCAAATTGTACCAAATTTAGTACCATTTAGTACACATAAGTAAGGATTTTCAAAACTACCTACATTCCTGAGTCTTAGAATGCAATAGTAATCTTATTTCCATATTTCGCAATTCTAGCTCCATCGGTCCACCCAAATCGAAATTGTACCAAATTGAGTACCATTTAGTACTTTTCGTGCAAATAAGTAAAAATTTCGAAAACTACCTCCATATCCAAATCCTTCACTTAGTCAATAACGTTAATTTAAAATTTCAGGATTCCAGCTCCATCCTTTCCTTCAAATTCAAATTGTACTAAATTTAGTACCATTTAGTACTTTTCGTACACATAAGAGCACACTCCCTAAACTACATCGGATTCCAGCTCCATCCTTTCCTTCAAATTCAAATTGTACTAAATTTAGTACCATTTAGTACTTTTCGTACACATAAGTGCACACTCCCTAAACTACATCGACTATACTCCTCAACATTGATCCTCATTCCAAATATCAAGTTTTTAACTCGAACCGTTCACATGATACGAAATGCTAACAAATGTAGTACATTTTAGTACAAAATGTTGCCTTTATTCTGAAATTTTGTTGCCTTTATTCTTTCTTACAATATTTTTTTCAATATTTTTTTTTAATTTTCAGTTCGCGCCAATGAATTCGAATGCTATCAATGCGTTGGCACCGAATGTCAAAGCAGTGAGACGACCAAATTGGTAAATTGCTATGACAACCCCGGCAACAATGCGCCCGCCCCTGCAACGACCACAGCCCCTGAGACGAGAGCTGCTGATGCGACCTATGCCTGTTTTACAATGCGTTATGAGGGTAAGCTGAAATTGAAAATTTCAAAATCAATTTTTTATCAACTACTTGGCTTCATTTACAGATGGCACTACCACAACCAAATACCAAAAGGGTTGCATCACCAAAGTGAATGGCATTGCCACCTGCGATGGTGTCTCTCCACCTGGAGCCACAAAATTGGACAGCTGTGTCACTTGTCAGGAACCCAAATGTAACTCCGTTGCTGGTCTCGGTGTATCGCTGCTGACATTGGCAGCTGCCCTGTATGTCCAGTATTTTATGTAAATTTAGACTGAATTGGATGCAGTGATGATGACGATGATCGGTAGCAAAAAATGGGAGTGTTTTGAGTTGATAACTGAAATAATTGACCAAATTGACAACTGAGTTCTCGTAACGTAAATTTTAAATGTTGTAATGTTTTGTAATAGTAAATAAATAAATGTTTTAATGATTAACATAATTTTTAAAGTAAAAAAATACAATTTTAAAATGTTGTTTAAAAAGAGTCAGCTGAAATATTTATACCCTACAACACTATGTGTTGGGTCAAAAATTATGTAACACCTCGAAATATTGGTCCCCACATAGGAAACTATATATGGATCATCCTATCTCGCCGAGCTGAGCCGATCTAGCTATGTATCTCCGTCCGTCCGTCTCTCCGTCCATCTTTATATATTCATTTGTAATCAAGCTGCAGGTCGCAATTATAAACCGATCTTCACGAAATTGAAAACCAGTAAAGAAAGTCTTAAAGTCGGGCGGGGCCGACTTTTTGATACCCTACACCACTTTGATAATTTAGTAGAGCTCCACATAACACTTAAAAGTTTTTATGGGAGAATTCAATCATACACGCTATGATTATGATTATAATTTAAAATTCAAAGGACTAAATATGCCGAAGCATTTGTGTCTTTTAAATTCGGACTTGTATTGCCCATTTGGTGCACAATTAATTTGAAATCGGATGAAGATATATATGGGAGATATATCCCAATCTGAACCGATCTCGATAAAATTTGGCAAAGATATTTCTGAGCTGCATTTGATATATTTCCCCAAATATTGTTGTTACAGAGTGAATATTACGGCTGCGGAGGACAAAAATAACAAGTCGGATGAACAATATGTATGGGAGCTATAGCTATATATGAACCGATTTCGATCAAATTTGGCATACTTATTTTCAGGCCTAATTTGATATATTTCTCTGAATATTGTTGTTACGGAGTGCATATTACGGCTGTGGGTAACAAATACTACAAATCGGATGAACAATATATATGGGAGCTATAGCTATATCTGAACCGATCTTCATCAAATTTGACATACTACCTTCTAGACTCAATTCGGTCGTATGTGCCAAATTTCATCCCATTTGGGCAAATATTAGACGTTTGGTGCACAATAAAAGGTAAATCGGACGAAGTTATATATGGGAGCTATATCCAAATCTGAACCGATCTCGATAGAATTTAGCAAAGGTATTTCTGAGCTGCATTTGATATATTTCCCCAAATATTGTTGTTACAGAGTGCATATTACGGCTGCGGAGGACAAAAGTAACAAATCGGATGAACAATATATATGGAAACTATAGCTATATCTGAACCGATTTCTATAAAAATTGGCATACTTATTTTCAGGCCTAATTTGGTTGTATGTGCAAAATTCCATACCATTCGGGCTGATATTACACGTTTGGTGCACAATAAAAGGCAAATCGGACGAAGATATATATGGGAGCTATATCTAAATTTTGACCGATTATCTCCAATTTCAATAGGATTCGTCCTTGGGCCAAACAAATGTTGTTTGCAAAATTTCATCTCAATCGGATAATAAATGCGACCTGTATTTTGTTCACAAGAATACATGGACAGACGGACTGACATGCATAAATCAACTCAGAAAGTGATTCCATGCAAATCATCAAAAGGAACTATGGGTCTATCTCGTTTCCTTTTGCCTGTTACAAACAAATGCACAAAGACATAATACCCTGACCACCTTGTGGTGTAGGGTATAATGAAGGTGGGGTTAGGGTCAGAATAGAACCCTACTGCTTTTGGAGATGATCGCATAATATTTAGGGGTTAAAATGGACCAAAAACTGAAAAAAATTCTGATTTTGCAGTTGCTCTACATGTCGCAATTATAGACCAATCGACGCGGAAGTTAGCATGGGGTTAGAGCTTAGGGCTGGGCAGAAGCCTCCCAATTTTGATGGTCATCGGGTAATATTTAGTGGGCGAAGTAGACCATAACATTTGTGTTAAATAAAAGTCAAATTTTCCATTAAACCGCGAATATTTTTAGTCCCGGCGAAATCACAAATAGACGAACAGGACAATTCTGACCGTTACGTAGATGCCGATAATAAATATATCGGATATATACAAAAGAATACAAATACAAAGAGATATCAGCTAGAATGCTTATATCTCAAGAAAAGGCGAACTTTTGGCTTTTTATGCAGATTTCGTTGACGAATATAGCAAAATGTCGTAGGCAAGCATATCATATAGATGAATCTAAATTTGGAGATACAGAGGGGTCTCTTGCTTTTGGATATGATCGCAAAATATTTATGGGTTCAAATAAACCAAAAGCAGAATAAATTTCCTGATCACACAATTGGACAGGGAACAATTCTAGCATTTTGGATCACCATTGGATTATATTTAGCTGTAAAATGGACCACAGAACTGAAAGCACGACGGAGTGCGTAAATATTGGGCAAATGTCCCTGGTGACATAATTTCAAAAGCGAAATCTTCCAAAATGGAATTGGACATAAAGGGGCTTCTAACATATCGCAGGGTTGTAGGGTATCGCATGGTCGACCCTGCACGACTATAGCATTTGCATAATATTTAGGGGTTGAAATGGACCAAAAACTGAAAATTTTCCTGATTTTGCAGTTGCTCTACAGGTCACAATTATAAACCAATCGACGCGAAAGTTAGCATGGGGCTAGAGCTTTGGGCTGGGCAGAAGCCTTCCAATTTTGATGGTCATCGGCTAATATTTAGTGGGTGAAAAAGGCTATGACATTTGAGTTAAACAAAATCAAATTTTCCATTTAACCGCGAATATTTTTAATCCCACCGAAATCACAAACATTTTTCATATTTTTTATCGCATGCGATTTTTTCAATTTGACTTATAATATTAAAGTGTATATTTTGTAATATTTTTTCACCTTACAACACAGGTTGGGGATATTGTATATATATTGCAATTATCGTCCGATCCTCACGAAAAGGGTAGGGTTATGCTCAGAATGGCTAGGCCTTTTGTTTTCAAAGATGTCCGCAATATATTTAGGGGTTGAGATTGACCAACAAAATAGTTCGTAAATATTGGGGAAATGTCCCTGTTCAAAATACTAAGGGTAATATCTGCGCAGTGCTTCGTGACATAGTTTCAAACGCGAAATCTTCCAAAATGGATTAGGACATAAGAGGACAGAAAAAAAATTCTCGATCACACAATTGAAGCCTTTCGACATGCCTGAGAAGATAATTAAACACAGGGAAGAATTCTGGCATTTTGGATCACCATTGGATTATATTTAGCTGTAAAATGGACCAAAACAACTAACAGAACGACGGAGTGCGTAAATATTGGGCAAATGTCCCTGGTGACATAATTTCAAAAGCGAAATCTTCCAAAATGGATTTGGACATAAGGGGGCTTCTAACATATCGCAGGGTTGTAGGGTATCGCATGGTCGACACTGCACTACTATAGCCTTTGCTTACTAGTTTTGAATTAATGATGGAAAAATGTTAGAATTTTTTTAAAAACAAATTATATTTTTTGTTGAGTCAGTCCCAAAATATTTTCCTAAAATAATCTGGAAACTGTTGTTTGTTTTCTCATAGCAAACCATTTAAGCGGTTTCATACCTGGAGAACTGTTTTTAAGATATGGTTACGCTCCCCACTTTCCGAGGACTGATCAAAGACCGTTACACGAACAAGGGTATTATGTCTTTGTGCATTTGTTTGTAACATGGAGAAGGAGATAGACCGATATATAGTTTCTTTATGGGATCTTCATAGAATCACTTTCTGAGTCGGTGAGATGAAAAAACTACAACCAACTTCGGACTGCTGTCATTTCTAAGCCACTTGTCCGACAGCTGTTAAAATTTTTCCAGTGACAACTCATTCAATTGTTTAAAAGCGTATAAAAGTATTTTGGTGAGAATTTTCCAGAAAAAAAAAGTTATTCGTGATGGAATTCAAGCGTGATAGTGTGATTTCTTTATATTTGGCTGGAATACCACAAGTGTCTATCATTAGAGCACTCCAGCATTTAAATGTGAATAGATCTTTTGTGTCTCGTACCATCGCTCGTTACCGTGATACTAGTAGCGTAACCTGACCTTAAGGAAGTGGATGGAAGAAATCAGCAACATTAGCAGAAATGGTTCGAAAAGTAAAGAAGCGACTTGATCGAAACCCGCGTCGCAGTGGCCGAAAAATGGCTCGTGAGCTGAGCATATCGCAATAGTCCATTCGGCAAATATTGAAAAATGAGCTCGGGGTAAAGCCATTGTAATTCCAAAAAGTGCAAGAACTTTCACCGTAACAGAAAGAAAATAGACTCAAAAGAGCTAAAGAGTTGATTCGCTTGGCCGAAAGTGGTGAACAACCGAATTTGGTTTTCTCCGATGAGAAAACATTCGTTGTCCAGCAGAGCAGTTTTTAAACAAACAAAATGATCGTTTTTACTTGCCAAAGAGGTCAGCTGAAAATGTGCATCTTCTGTTGGCCACAAGAACTCAAGCGCCAGCCATGGTGATGGTGTGGGCTACCATAACAGTCGATGGTCGCTCTCCGCTCGTATTAATCGACCGTGGCATTAGAATAAACGCCGAATATTATCGTGAAAATATTCTGGAGGGTGTATTACAGCCTTGGGCACGCAAACATGTTGGCCGCAGACCTTGGACATTCCAACAGGACTCAGCACGCGCCACCCAAGAATGGTTACAAAATGTGTTTTCTCACTTCATTTCCAGCGCACAATGGCCACCAAAATCTCCGGATACCAATCCGTTAGACTATTGTGTCTGGAGTATTTTGGAAAGCAAGGTTGGCACTAAAAAAATACCAAAGTGTCGATCACCTCAAGCAAGCGCTTCGCCGGGAATGGGCCAAAATACCGCAGAACAACATTCGGGCAGCGTGTGACGGTTTCATTGGCCGTTTGAAGGCCATAATTCGTGCCAAAGGTGACCAATTCCGGCAAATCTAAACTTATCCTAAAATTTGATGCTATCTCCGATATTTTTTTTCTTTCATTCAATAACATTTAAAAAAAATGTAAAAATTATGGCGTTTGACTTTGTTGCAGTTTTTTATCTTACCCTGTATATTCAATCGATTTCGGGTTAAATGTGCACCAAATGTCCAATATTTGTCCAAATGACCTGCAATTTGAAAATCGGTTCAGATATCGCTAT